ATGGTGAAACCGGAGGTCGATAAGAGTAAAGGTAACGGCCAAGTCCGGGATACCAATCTTTCCGTTGAACGTCACTTCGTCACAGCAAGGTTTTGCTGATCATGGATCGTGGAACGAGCTATGGTGTAATAACCGTGGAATAAGCTAGCTTGCCTATTCTTCACGCCCACCTCCAGCCATAATTTTCATTACTGCGGAAGGATCAATTTTACGTGGATATTCTCTTGATAATCACCTAACAGCCAAAGTGAAGTTACAAATTTATTCACGCACGATAATCTAACATCGCGTTGTCTTGCATGAGTGATGTTCTACTACATATCAAAGAACGATTATACCTAGCGTGTAGCTTTTAAGTCATTCAAACTATGAAACGCTTCACTTGTGAGTTCAATGTCTACTGCCAGCGCAAGGTCGCGGATTTTAGAAATGGATTAGGGAGCGGGTAAGTTACACTGCGTGTGTGTGCGTGTGTGTGTGTGTGTGTTTGTGTGTGTGTGTGTGTGTGTGTGTGTGTGTGTGTGTGGTGTGCATGTGCGGTCAGTGCGTCGTGGGTGTTGCGTGTTGCGTGGGTGCGAGTTGCGTGTGCGTGTCGTTGCGTGTGCGGTGCGTGCGTGTGCGTGTGCGTGTGGCGTGGCTGTCGTGCGTGTGCGTTGTGGCGTGTACGTGGTGCGTGTGTGTGTGTGTGGATCAGTCTGAATTTCTTTCGCTAAACTGTTCCCTTTATTACTCTGATATTTACTTGCCTATATTTATTCTCGGACAGTGGTAGACATCGCGCTATAGCATGTCACAATGATGTAATTTGTCTCATATGCAGGCATTATACACGCCAGGGCCCTCGTAACGATTGACGAGAACTCATATTCGCTAATGATATTACTGTATGCCTACTTTTTTTCTATTTTCATTTCCCCTAACACCGAAACACAAACAAAAGGGCGGCTACGAAGTAACTCAGATCGCGACAATGCATGCACACATCATCAGCGGAGACTGCTCAGTTCGATTTGTGATGCATGATTGCTAGCGTATAAGCCCACTCCTGGCACTCTTCACATGGGTCGTCAGGGTGACACAAGCGGTCAAGGAGACATACGATCGATTGAACGCAACCGGTGACGAACCTACTCATTGTAACCCACGATTAACTGCGTCGGTGCGAACTGGTCAATAGACTGGTGTGTTGACAGCTATGACAACAAGC